CCCCAAAACCCCAAAACCCCAAAACCCCAAAACCCCAAAACCCCGAGTCAAGGGTAAAATATTGAACTTTATTTGAATTTGTTCTGTAATTTCTTGAAATGGTCTTCTATTGATATTTTGGGAAGGAATTTTTGGGATCTTGGACTAGAGTTATTGTAACTGGTGTTTTTGGAATGCTTTGTTGGGGAATGTTTCTCTGGGAGAGGGTTAAGGGAGATGGAAATGTCCTTGGTGATGTTGTCCTTAACAAGCTGTTTAGAGGTATTGGCCATCTCGGGAGTTGATTCAGACACTGAAATGTCAATATATAAGCAATGTGTGCTTCAGATAGCTCCTAGTAAAGATTTGAAGGCGAGGTTTGCATCTTCAATCTCAGAAGCTCTGATTTTGACAGAGATAGTATTAAGAGCTGTCTGTTGTTTTAATAGTGAAATTAATGAGGATAACGAATCCTTGTTGCTAATTTCATAGTTGACTCTGAGTTCCTCCAAGCTAAGATTGTGAAGAGCTTTAAAAGATATGTCATTACTCTGTTCTTGCTGGTTGTTTTCAAACCCAGGATCAATAATCTCTACCTCTGTTTTCGTAGATTTAGGAATGCTTTGGACAATTTCACAAAAGTCTTCTTCACTAAGATCAGTAGGATCGATCTTTATATCTAAATTTGACAATTTCTGAACTGACCCTACAGAGAGTATTCTACTGAGGGATTTTAAATTTCATCTGACAGATGTAATTTCCTCAAAAGGAATGTAAATTTTTAGATCTTGGGATAAGGATTTGTGTTCCTCAAGATCATTGAAGCTCGCTTTTTCATTGACATCTGCATAGAAAGCATTTTCATTTGATCCGAATACGATACAGTTCCCATCAATCGTATAATCAGTTGTCACTCTTAGATAGAAGTTGGTGGCTTTCATAGCCCAGTTGTTGTAGCTGATCAAGCAATTGGCTCCTTTAATCTCATATTTAGTAGGCTTTTCATAATTTGCTCGATTCATAGCAATCCTGGTTGGCAATCCTTTATTGTTTAGCGTATTTGATATCAAAGGAATTACGTCAAGATCATTTGGCTGCATGGACTCATCTTCGTCTTTAAACAATCCTTCACATAAAAATCCGAAGTTTGGGAGAGAACCTTTAGCACCTTCTTCATTGAATTTTAGGCTCTCTAATATTCTCGAGAGCTCCTGGATATAACCCTTATCTCTGACAATATTGTCCTGATGTAGTTTTATTTTAATGTCAGAATCTTCAATTTTCTTCGAAAGAGCTTCCGTGGTCATAATTTCTAGTAATTCTGTTAATAACTCTACAAGTTCAGGAAGCTCAAGGAAGCCAATTCGCATTTTGTCAATTAGCATTTGCTCGCTATGATCATCTGGCAGATTCCAATCATCTGAGCAAACATAGAGGTTTTTAGCACCATCGAATTGGCTTGTGTTGAAAATAATGAATGGTGGGTTCTTAAATTGATAGTAAGTTGCTTTATCAACTTTATACTCTTTCACTTCGATCTGAAGAGCTTTAGAAATTTTCATTAGAAATTCAAAGTTAGAAATTTTGTTTATCAAAGTGGAAATATACATGCTTCCAACTTTTAACAATTCTGGATCCACTATTTGTCAGAAATTAGCAATAGTCTCAAGGCTTGAGAGGTTCTCATCATCAAGGCAGAATATGAGGGAGTATAGTTTATAAGTACCTGCATGTATCAGCTCCATCATTTGTGAATCTGGAGATACCTCATCATCAGAATTTGAAGGACCTTTTAGATTCTCGACCCATAGATTCCTCTTCTGAATATGGAATACTTCTTCCTCCTGGCCATTAATTAAAGGCTTGAGCCATTGATCTTCGTTAGAAAGCCAGAGCTGTCTGGACTCTGACCTGAGCTGTGTCATTAAAGTTCTACATTGGTCCGCATATCCAAAATAAGGAAGAATCTTGATTGTAAGAGAAAGAGTCGTCAATAACGATGCTCTCCCCTCCTCTGTACCTAAAACCCCCTTAATCTCCTCTAAATCCATCACTCTCTTACTTTCCATATTTAATTTTATTCCCCCACTCGCCCCTTATCCGGGGTTTTGGGGTTTTGGGGTTTTGGGG